TCGTATGCTTCCAGCAGAGACCCGTGCCGTGCGGCGCTTGCAGCGGCTTGCCATCAGCAAAGCTGAGCGCCGGTGATAGCAAGCCGCTGCAATCGCCGCAACGCACTTACCGCCCTCTACCAGCAAAACGTCCCTTCGACTCGTGGTCCCTCGACTTTATCGGCCTCTTGCCCACATCGGACGACGGCTACCGATGGATCATCACCGGTATATGCCGAGGCGTAGACGCCCATTGCCGCCCCCTTTGCCGAGGCACGGGGGCCTGGGCCTAGTCATCGGCAAAGAGTGTCTAGCCAGCATCACCGGCAGGATCTCAATCGGCAGGGTGTCGGACAAGGCCGCCAGTGAAGCCCGCGGGGGCTTCGTACCTTGAGATGACCATTCTGGAATGTCCAGAAAAAGTCATTGAGGCCGTGAAGAAGACGATCCGTGCCAGCGCTGAAGCCGTCCGTAATAACCGACTGGAGTGACTTGATGTTTACATGACCGACGGAACTGTGCATGCGCTCTCAGATTGCGGTTATAAGACCAAGGGCAACGGCACGGCCAACAAACAGGTCCATATGTTGGGGACAGTCGTTGCACTAAGCCGATGCTGTTGAAAACACTCGGCAACGATGTCGCTCGCTACAATGCACTGAAAAAGGCTCTAGTGCGGATCGAGGTCGCTCCGCCGGGCAAAACCCACGGGCGCGCCTTTCTGGATGGCGGTGAGAATATGTCGAAAGCAAAACGTGGCACTAGGGCTTTCTCAACTTACTTGTAACCTTTTCAGAGAATCTTGACGACATCCCCGACGTCATCTGGCAAGAGGCCAGGCGAGTCGCCATTGTCATTTCGCCTGACCCAGCAGACAACACCACGGAGAACTGGGTACTCTACAACCAGATAACGCCGCGGTTCAACGGGCAGGAAAAACATGCAGCATTTTGCGCGCTGCTCGCTTCACTCAGTGACGGCCATGTCCCGCAGCTTGACGATAGCGACTACCACGAACGAGCAACGATCACTGCCGAGCGCCGGATAAGTGGGGCAAAGCGCAAGGTTGAGGCTGAGGCTGCTGCGCGCGAGGCCAAGCGACGATGGTGAGGTTGCGCGCGGGGCTAAGCGATGAGATGTTATGGAAACCACCCTCTTCATAAATAGCCAGTTGTATCAATAAAGCCACCTACTGCTCGTTTGAAATCTTTAGCCATACGACTGTTGAGTGTCACAGTGTTGCGAGCACGAGCGCTGTGTCCCGGTGTTTTGCTCGACGCAAAGCAAGGGACACGGCAAGCGACATGTACACGATGCAGCCGGCTGTGGGATGTGAAAGTAATCGACGCATGCAAGGGACAAGTCAAGCGACGTGCAGGAAAGACTGCAGGATTCGAACCTGTTCAAATCAAACTGCTTAAACTTTTTCGCCGGGCGGGCATTACCAAGGCCCGGGTCAGGGCAAAAGTGACAGGCTCGAAGGTGTTTTTATGGGCTGTGGTGAGACCCTCACCGCACGGCTTGACTACAGCTCACACCCCGTCGGCCGAGGCTTTAAGCGGTTTTTCTTTTCTTTTTGACGATGGTTGTTAGGATGCAGCACATCTACTATGATATATTTCTTTGTACTGAGAGCTATTATACATTATAGATGAGGTAAATTAAATATGCTATATACTGTAATTACTAGATCTCGCATTCATAATTCGGATGAGTTAACAATGAACCATGAATACTTTACCGCTTCGTCGCGTTACCGCCGCAAAACATAAAGAGCACTGCCGAAAACGCTACGCCGTCTCGTCGCTCATGTCCACTCGGCGACGCTTGCGTGGATTAACACTTTCCTCCGCCGCATCAGAGCTCTCCGAACTCCACCCGCAGTCATGCGATGACCAATCCGAGCCCCCCTCCGTCGACTCCCCGTTAAACCCGTAAAACGTTTCTAACGGAAATTCATCCTCAGAAATCTCGACTTCACCTTCCACCGCCGCGTTATCGTCGACATCCTCCGCAGAGTCGTTATCATCTGCATCCACATCTTCCCCGGAATCCAAATCCGTGACCATTGCCGCGTCGTCATCGTCCCCGGAATCCACATCCACAGAAAAAGCTCGCGGAGGAAGCTGGTCGTCAGCTTCCTTGGAAGCCGCGACCCGCTTCTTCCACCGGCTTTTTCTGACAACTTCCTCCGCGCCGCTGTCATCGGTATCGAGCTGCTCGGGTGATGTGTCACCCAGATCGTCGGCAGTTGTCTCTATGAGGCCAGCGGTGATAAGCTGCTTCCGCAGCTGCTTTAAACACTGGATCTCGGTGTTGCGCTGTAACCACATCGCCCATTTCTTCCCCTGGATCTTCAAGCCAATCTTGGATCCGGGAAAAAGTGACAGGGGAGCATTGAGATGCACTCTGACAAAAGCCTCTGTCCCGACGACTTTTGCTGCTTCTTCATGGCTGCCGAGTTGTCGAACGAGCTCATGCTTTGATAACACAAAGCGCATATCATTGAAGGTGAACTGAAGGGATGGGCACTGAGTTGTTTCTGTCGTTCGATATCCAGAGTGGCCTTGAGCGCAGATTGTAACTTTCTTCCCTTCGAGAAGGGCGCTTTTACGATTTGACCGGGATAGCCGTTGTTTTCCTTTATTGATTGCAGCCTGGTGACGCTTTCGAAGTTCAGGATGTTCATCTGTCATGTGATGCTTCGTTCCGTTCGCCTTTCGATTCGCTAAGGATTTTATCGCTCCTTTGCGTCCCCATTCAGCAAGCTGTGCCTGAGTTCCATTGACAACAAACGGAAAGGTCCCGTTGAGACCGGATGGGCGCTTAGTCCAGTCGGCGCCATATTTCCCAATGGACGTCATCAGGGTGTCCATATTCTCCTCTGTATAGGAGCGTGCGAGCATGCTGACGACTGTTTCGAGGAGCTCCAGTTCCGCACTCGAGTGACCGCCGTGGGATTGAGCAACGACGTAGCACTTCAGGATGCTATCCTGCTTGACCGCCTGGTAACGTAGATACTTTTCCTGGTCGGCGCGCGCACGATATTCTGCGTTCATGTGCTGATTCAAGCACCGGTGAGCAAGCCCATCGCGAGCAACCGACACCCCAACATACTGCTGATTGTCAACGGTAAAGAGGTACACCCCTGCATGAGCATTCTCGGACGTGACTTCTCGGAGAAGCGATGGCGTAGGGCACCATTCAGCAAGCCATCTGCGCTGAGAGTCATCTAGGAGGCCGGGAAGCAGCAGCCTTTCTGTGAGGGTCGACAGGTTCTGTCGCAAAAGCTGGCCCACGGAGGGCTTGATATGGGCGTACCCCTCTTGGGCATACCGGCGCAGGACAAAGAGCGTGCGAAGAATGAGTTCCGAGGCGATCTCTAAGACTTCGGAAGCTGAAACGTCGTCCTGTTCTTTGATTCTTCTCGGCGGCAAGTTCCAGGTGCAAGTTTGAGCGTCTTCAGCTTCCATGGCTTTCAGCGACTGTGAGGCAAGGATTGGCGAATAGCCAAGCTGCGTACAGAGCCACTCAGTTGCGTAATCAGCTCATAGCCGCCGCCGGCAGGTACTTCTGCGAGTAGCGGGCGAAGGATATCCTCGGCGACGTTCTTCATCTGCTCCATAAAGTAAACCATTGGGTCGGTTGGATCTCTTTGTTTCCAGGCGATTGCTGCTCCGTTTCTCTGCACCCATCTTGCGCGATTGCCCATTCGGGAGGCTCCTCTTCATTCTGTGCGATCCATTAAAAAGAAAGTGCATGTTTAGTACAACGTGTTTACACCACCGAGCTCAACTTGCAATCACCTTTCCCGTAGCAAACGTCAGAACATCATTCAGCGTCTCGACAGGGTCGGCCTCCGGACCGAGACCGACCGAAGGCGCCTTTCCACCTGTGTACGACTTGTACAAAGTCAACAGGATTTTTCGCCTCTCATCTGGGAATTGCTTCTTGATCCAGTCGAACAGAATGGCTGGTGCAGGCGGGACCAGCACCGGCATGACCAGGACCGCCCCAGGAACCGGGTGTATGTTTGATTGATGGATTGGAACTTGGGCTGCCAGGGCCCCTGGCGCTACGATAAGGTGGGGAGGAATGGCGATATTGTTGGGAATAAAGAACCCTGGAGTCATCATCGGCGGGGCTCGTCGTGCATCGATTCTCAAAAAACATTGGATAATTCCTAGCAGTTGCGGTGGGAGCAGTTCTGTTTTAGTCAAAGCCTACTGCACCGCTCCAACGCACGCCATACACAAACTCACCTAAGCGATCCGTCTCTCGGGCCCCAGCCCAATGCGGGTACCCAAGCTTTTGGTTTGAAGGCGCGGGCATTGTCTTTGGCGTCCCCTTGCAATCGAAAACGTAGTGCACGTCCCCGGCTAGATACCACCCATAGCGATTCAACATCACAACATTCCCTGCAGGGGGTGTCACTCGAAAACACTTCATTCGGTATCGGGTGCAGTGCCACGACCCAAACGATGGCAAAGTCGGTGACCCGCCCCCGCACCACTCGCAGAATGGATACCGTGAACCCAATGCTACCATGACCACCAATCTTCCCACCAGCATTGCGTGCGACCCGGTACGGCGAATGTTGTTAAGCGTGCAAATTTGCTTCAATACCGCATTTGGTAATGGAAGCAGCCAGGCATACGCCGCAGCTATCAAGGCGGGAGCGACAGGCGGCGGAAGAGGTGCATCCGGGGCGGGAGGCGGGCCGAGGGCGGGTTGATTCCCAGGCACCGCGGTGGCCGGGCCCGGGATCTCGAAGCTGTGTATATTGTCTGTAGTGTAGTTGAGTGCCGCTGCTACTGCCGCTTGTGGAAAGAGGAGGGCGGCCATGTTGCTGTCTGGGCAACGTTCATGTGCGGGCAATGTGAGCTGTCGACAGCTCTGCGTTTTTGTCGCATCCGCCCGGCCGCACCCCCCTTCAGCAACGTGCGCAGCATTCCTAGATTAAGCATATTCTATACATCAAGCCTTGAAAATTCGCTCGCCTTGGCAAAGTAGCAAAAAAACTTTCGCACGTCACCAGCAGGATTCGAACCTGCGCGGGCAAACCCCATTACCTTTCAAGGGTAACGTGTGCGTTTTGCACGCACACAAAAAAATGTAAAATTAAGCGTCGCCGGCAGGATTTGAACCTACGCGGGCAGAGCCCATTGGCTTTCAAGGCCAACTCCTTAAGACCACTCGGACACGGCGACTTCCTTGCGTTGTGCACTCCCACCAAGGATAATATGCACTCTCACGAAAAGTAAAGACGTGCGAAAATCGTATTTGGGCGACTATAAGGGCTTATATGGTCGCGGCTCCTCATTCCCCTTTCCTTTTTTCTTTTAGCAAAATACAGACACATATATTCCATCTATATAACGACTCGTCTCTGGACAGTTTGTGAGGAATCGAATAGGACCTGGCGGCCGTTGCGCAGCGTTGATCAAGGCCCGTGACGCATTTGGACGTTGATATTGACGCGGTTTTGCTCTCGCGAACCACGCTGTCTTTCCTGCATGTCGCTTGCCTTGCCCCTTGCCTGTTTCGGTCGCGATATACAGCGCATTCTGGTCTGCACGGCGACAAGTAGCTTTCCGCATCAGCGACCGGCCGACCCATCCATCCGTTGTACGGCAAACGACCGGACACGGCAATCGTGCTGGCAGCACGGGACATGCTAGGATGGCCCTACGCTGTCCTAGTATCGATAGCATTGAGAAAAGCCAGTGTGCGCTTTAGCGGGGCGCCTCGACTGTCACGCTGGCGAGTCGCTGGGGGAAAATGTACGTGTAGACCATAAAAAGCCTCCTAGCAAGTTCCCCAACAAATCCTTATTCTGCACAGAAACAAATAAATACACAATAGGTGGCAAATCGCAGAGGCGCAGGCGCCAAGTAGAAAACGTCTGCGTCATCAAAGTCAAGGTCCTATGAGTTCAGGGTATCAGGGTATTATTGAACTGCTTTCCATCGTAGCGGGCATACAAGACAAGGCCATGTATATTGCAAAGAAGAAAGACGCTACGAAAAGCGCAGCTAGGCGGGCAATGCGTGAGACGTAACGTACTTGGCCCTTAGCGTCGTTTAGCTGCGGGGCCTTGGCATCATTGATGGCCACAAGCAGCGCGGTAAAGGCCGCGTTCTGGTCTAGCGGGTGGCCCAGCGGCTTGAATTGGGCAACGACAGGTTCGCCTCGCTGTCGTGCGCACGATTCCGCTTTGCAATGCCTGCTGCCGCAACACGTCAGGGACGTTGGCGAGGTTCACGCTGGACCTTCTACCCATACACCAACATTGGCAGGCTTTCGTTAAAGCCGCGGTATGGCGAACGATGTACCGCATTGCCAGACGAGTACTCAAAAAATCAGCCGTAGCCATGACAGCAGTAAGTCGAGACGGGCTCAAAAACTCAGCCGTAGATTGTCAGCGCTGCTTGAGCATGATCGGCGCTTTGGTTTTGCAACTGGCAGTTGGCAGTCAAGCGCTACTCGAGCAATAGTCAAGCGTGGCGATTTTACTAAGTGTCAAGCGCGTAGATTGTCGGCCTAAAGCGTTAAGTTGACTCATTCGTAGTAAACCACGCGTGCGACCGGCGTCACTCGCGCCCATGCAGCTACATTTTCGACTAAACCTGGTTAAGGAGTGAGACTTGAAATTTAATGGGCTCTGCCCGCGTAGGTTCAAATCCTGCAGGGGACGCTTACTTTTTTCCTTTTTATTTACGTGCAGGTCGCTGGCCGTGTCCCTTGCTTGCGTCGTTCACCTACTGACAGCCGGCGCAATGTAAGTCTCTTTTGCCCTTGCAATCGCCGTAATATAGATTACATAGGGATGAAGATGACATCACCGTCCTAAATCTTGTTATTTGAAAGTGCTTGATTTGCGATAACTCGCCCGGGTCCTCATTTCAATAATATCATTCATAGAAAAAGCAGAAAACTCTCGCAGATTCACAGACGGACGCTCCCGACTGCCTCCAGCCGTACAGGGTGGGACCCCGGATAGGAAACACAGAGAATGCAAAGAGACAGTGCGCAAATCACAGACAGCGGCGGCAGCGCACAAACACATGAAAAAAAAGTATATATATAACAAACAAAAGCAAAAACAAAAAATCCGCAAGCCAAACGGTGGCAGCGGCTCTGGTGAGAGAGGGAACAGAACACGAACGAACAAGGTCAGCTTGCGAGTGCAGACGGCGCGTGGACCACGCCCGCCGTCTCTGTTTCTCCCGCATCTCTCCCTCTCCGTCCCCACTCGCCTGCCTCTCAATCCTCGTCGTCAGCGTCACGCTTACGCTTCGTAGTCGCTGCTTTGATCTTGGCTCTGTCCCCTCTGCGCGGACAGAAGAAGGCAACGGAAATCTTGATTTCAGCAGTCAACCGCACCGCTCTCGCTGTTTCAGGATTCTCGCTCTCGCTGGTGGCACCTATTCTTGTGCTCGGTGCTCCTATTATGAGGAAATGCCGTTTCTCGCGAGAAAACATACAAGCACTCATAGGGACCTGCCGCTGATAACTTAACGTGCAGTTCACCCCTGGGGAGCATACCGCAGCCTCTGTCGCCTCTGTTGGAAGGTCACGTTCTCGCTCCTGCCCCGACGTTTTCCCGCTCAACAAGCGCCACGCTCATACGCAGCTCTAGCGCTCCGGCCGGCACCCCGATGCGTTGTAAGCCCTTAGCTTGCATCGTACATCGCTTTGTCTGTGTGTGAATCTCCTATCTCTACAAGATATTTCTTTACAAAGTTCGACGCGCTTTGACTTCGCCAGCGGCCGCGACTGCATTCCTCGCTCATTCATCACTTACTGTTTCTCTTTGTATTGACCGCAGCCCGGACAGGCGCTTGGTGAGCCTGCATGGGTTTCTCTTCTACCAGTGCTTGTTCTAAGTTCTGTCCCTGTGTCGAAAAACCTCGGTTTCTTCCGAAACGCTGGTGACGCTGCTTTTTTGTTTCGTTTTTCTGTTGAGCTCCGGGGGTGGCCGCCCACTGTCGCTTACCTACGGTTCACATGAGCGTGTCTTTGCCCACTGAAGGCACTCTCGACGTCTGTCCGGCTTCTTAATGATGAAAAATAAGCCAAGATCACCGGTGCGTCATACAGCCTGTTGCATCTGCCGTTCCTGGTATCTCTTGCAAGGCTCATGCAGCAAGGCGGCGGAAGCATTGTTCCGATGTGACGCATCCGCGGGACTCTGCTCCCGGCGCGACCGCATTAGCGTGACGGACAGGAACGACATCGAAAAGCACCTCCAGGCAGGCACGTTCTGCGTCGAGTCTCTCAAGTGTGGTCTCAAGTGTGTCGTGGGACAGCGAGCATTACATTTGAGCGAATACCAATCACGTACGGGAAGTTTTTCCTTTTTTACAAGCATAAACCTGAATGTCCCACAAGATGGTATGTGTCTCGTCGAACTGTCGCTCTCACGCAAGGGGGAAGATTTTCATCACCGACACTCATATGTATTAACAGACACAACTTTCTACCATCCGAATATATCGAAATGACCCAGGCGCAGGCGAAAGCGACGTGGTCGGGCGGAGAAAGCAGGGTCTAAAACGACGAACGTCAGCGTGGTCGCGCCAGCACAGTCACTCTCAACCAGTACTCACCATTTTCGCTTGGCCTCGCGCGCAGCAGCGTCAGCCTCCGCCTGGCGCTTCTTTGCCCCACTGATCCGGCGATCGGCGGTGATCGTTGCTCGTTCGTGAAGGTCGCCATCGTCAAGCTGCGGGACATTGCCATCACTGAGTGAAGCAACCAGTGCGCAAAATGCCACAAGCTTTTTCTGCCCATTGCGCCGGGGCTTTATCCGGTTATAGAGTACCCAGTCTTCGCTGGCGTTGTCCACTGGCGAAATGACAATAGCAATTCGCCGGGCCTCCTGCCAGATGGCGTCGGGGATGCCGTCAAGATTCTCTAAAAAGGTTACGAGTAAGTTGCGAAAGCGCTGGTGACAAAATGCACCCTTTGACAGTAGTATTCTCACCGCCGTTAATATAGGCGCTCACGTGGGTTTCGCCTGGCTCAGCTACCTCGATCCGCACTAGACCCCTTTTCAGGGCATTGTAGCGAGCGACGTCGTTGAGTGTGTTTTCATCAGCATCTCTTTGTTAATGGAAACCTGCGTCCCGCACAAGCGGACCTGCTTGTTGGTCGTGCCGTTGCCCTTGGTCTTATAACCGCTATCCGCGAGCGCATGCACCGTTCCGTTGGTCATGTAAACTTCGAGTCGCTCCATTCGGTTATTAGAGACGGCTTCGGCTTGGGCGCGGAGTAACTTTCTCGCGGCTTCCTTGACTTCTTCTGGACATTCCAGGATCCACCGCGTCAACGTGTCCACGCCGTATAACTCGCGGCTGCGAGCCTGCGTAATGGACCCTCCAATCTTGCCTCCAATCTTCAATTTGTCTGACCACGGCACTGGCGTTCCTATGCTGCCGCCCTCGCTGATGCCGCCGCCCTTCGCTGATGCTGCCGCCCTCGCTGATGCTGCCGCCCTCGCTGATGCTGCCGCCCTCGCTGATGCTGCCGCCCTCGCTGATGCCGCCGCCCTCGCTGACGCATTCCTCGTGTGCAATGTCGTCTTTTTGATCACTTGGACCTGACTCGGGGGCAGCTAGTTTCAAGGCACTATCGTAGTCGCCGCGACAGTGTACGAGGATGTCTCGGAGCGTGGATGGGTCAAACTCAGACCCTGCCTTATGGCAGAGCTCAAAGAAAACATCAAGATCAGCTTGGTCGCTGATGGTGTAGACGTCCTGAGCCGGCGGCGAATCGGGGCTCTGCGAGTCGGAGTTCATAATGTCTTGTCAAGAGTTGAGTTCGTAGTTTGACAGTTGAGGTCGTAGTTTGACGCCCCCGCGAAGCCTACAATAGTGGGGTGAACGCGCGAGTTGTCCAAATCGAGCGAGTCGAATAATAGGGAAATCGATAGGAGGATCAAAGTCCGCCGGGTATTTAATGCCCGGGAGGCATTCGTACTTTTTCCCACGGAGGGAAAGGCATTGGGTTCGGGGCCCATGCTCCTCAAGGAGGATTCCCAAACACATCCCCGGTTTTGAGACCTCTTCTCTTGCACCGCGGGTTCCCGAAACAAGGAGTGCCAAGCACAAAAGCCAGCTGTACAGCCAGGGGACAAACGTCGGAGGAAAAGAGCTCCGACTTTTGCCCACTGGCTGTAGCATGCAGCATTGCCATTGCACCGCCCGCCGAGGTGCTGATTGCCCAGATACGTAAGGCGAACGCAGCAGCCGCGACTATCTCTGCCCGGAAACCTGGATGTAGGTGTGGCCAGGCGTTGGTGACAAGGCGCCTTTTCTCGCGAGAAGCGACTGCGGTTGACAAGTGGGCCAACGGACATCCCAGCCGCGCGGTTGATGAACGTATCGCAGTCGCGTCGGTTGCAACTTGCACGTTCTCGCGCGACCGGCCAGGGCCGAGCGAGGCGACTGTTTCATCTTGGCGAGAAGTGCGCCGAGCACCGCCTTGTTTTTCTGGTCGAAGCCGAAAGCTGCTGCCAAAGTTCCCAAGCAGCTGCCGGGGATATATGGCTGCCTACGTGCCGTGCCTCGGCGGCGGCTACCTCTGCGAGAACGTCATCCAGGATGACTGAAAGAAACGCCAAGTTACGTACCTGTCCCTTGCCAGCTTGTTGGATAAGACTGCGCCTCGTCGAGTCTTGAGGCTCTGGTAAGCCTCTTTACTGCCGACGGCCGCAAGCAAGGAACGACCGGAAGTGCCGCTGTTCGGAATCAATCTGCACATGGCTATCACACACACCTACCGCTCAATCCTTGTCGTCAGCGTCAAGCTTGTGCTTCTTCGTTGCCACACACACCTCCCGCTCAATCCATGTCGTCAGCGTCAAGCTTGTGCTTCTTCGTTGGCAAGCACACCTACCGCTCAATCCTTGTCGTAAGCATCAAGCTTGTGCTTCTTCAATCCTTTCTGCATCCACTGTGACCGCGGCCGGATCCAGCGAGATGGTGTTGCCGTCATTCGCAATAGCGATCAAGGCGCAGAGCGCCGCATTGTTCGCCTGGGTTCGGCCGAGCTTTGCGGCATGAATTCCAGAACTGCCAGGCCCTGCTGGATGACGAGGAAGGAGGAGCCGCTAACCTGGCGCCGACGAGATGCGCATAAGCGACGCGTAGGACCGAAGCGACAACCCTCATCGGGCATGCCGTCCAGAACGACTAAAGAGACGATCGACAAATAGGCTCTCGGTACCTGCTCAAGAAACAATGCATAGCTTTGCTCACGTACCCTCGCCCAGGTAGGCCTGGGGATGCTGTTCGCCGTCGGGTCGTACCTCCAAGCGTACTTTGACAAGAGAAAAGTTCCGGGTACGCTTAGGCGTCCGCCACGACCGCCTTGCCGCGTCGTCTTATTCACGCACACCAGCTTTGTAGCGAGTTGAACTGCTTTGAAACAAAGCCCTTCTTGTCCTCGTTTGCCGTTCCTGGTTATGCGCTGCACAGCTTTGACCTCAATCTCGGCGAGCAAAACGGCAGCATCGTTCGCGACTATGGTTGCCTCGACCGCATCCACGCTTTGCCATCCACACGGTCGGCGTGTCAACACCGGTTGTGGCTCAGCTCTGCGACTGCCTTGTCGCGCCGCCCACTGTCCCTCGGTTCGGCAACTCTGTTGTAAGCAATGCACTTTGAGCTGAGTTAGCCTTCCACTCACAAA